TATGGGTCTAGCTTTAGTTGGAATGTTTTTTTCATTGAAATCCTTTTCATAAGGTATTTCAACAATATGTTTTCTTCTTTCCCAAAAAGCATTTGGGATTTCAGAACACACTTGGTTTAATAGTTTATTTTCTATTTTTTTTTAATTTTATTTTTACTAATGGATTATCTAATTGTTTTTCTATTTGATGATATTTTATTTCTTGTTGTAGATAGTCAATATGCTTTTGTTTTCCATTTATTAGATCTATAGACTTTTCTATAGTAGAGTTTTGTAATGCTAATATCTCTTTGGTTTTCATTGGAGATAAAAATTCAAACGTGATCTTTTCTCCAAATATTTTTGTAGTAATGTTACTTTAAATGGGTAAATTTGTGTAAAAAACGGAGTTCCTAATATGATTTCTTGGCTTAGATTTTTAACAAGAATAAACTGGTTTTTAAAACAATATCCTTTATTACAAATTTTTGCTTTTGGTAATTTATAGTTTACCTTTAAACTACTTCCATTTGCCCCACTAAGTTTTTCATAGGTTTTTTTCATAATACTTAGTTGGAACTATTCCTTCTCTAGTGCAGTTGTAATTTGCGCCTGTGTCTAGTAATGCTATTATTTCTAATTTAAATTCATAGCCTATATGTAAAATGATTTTTGAATACCATTTTTGATAATTTATTTTTTCTATTAGTTGAATATATTATTCTTCATCTTTAGTTTCTATTTGTTTTTCAGGGTTACTTGTGGATGGAATGGTAGGTGCCGATTGGTGAAATTTTGGTTCGATTAAGGCTATTTTGGCATTAATTTGTAGTTGTTCTAATTGTTGTTGGTGTACTATGTGCTGTAATTCTTTTACTTGGATTTTTAAATTTTTAACTTCTCCTTGTAATTATCCGGTAGTTATTTGTTTAAATAAAGTAGGAGAAGGGTATTTTTCTAATATCTTACTAAGGCTAAAAGGTTGTGGAGTCGAAAGTTGGTTTTCTTTATGTATAATATCTTTTAGTTTTAGAAGATATTCCTTTTTGGTTTCTGGATCATTTATTTTATCGATTATATTTATTAGAAATTGTTTATCTATATCCTTAGTAATTACATTAATTGTTTTACAATTGCAAATATCATTTGAAAAATTCTGAGAATCTTCAGATGATGTTTCACTTTGATCTTCTATAATATCTAGGGAAGGTTCACTACTAGATTCTCCGGAATTTTCTGTTTCTGAAAGGAGTAGTTTTTCTAATTTTTCCCTAATATCTTGTTGATCATGAAAAATTTCATTAATCTTTCTTTTCATTTTGCATTCAGTTGATTTATGACCGGGGCGTTTGCAATTCCAGCAAAAGAGGTTTTCTCTTTTAACTGGGGTTTTATGAGTTTTATTTTTTGTATAGTAAGGGTTAGAAAATTTTTTTGAATATTTCTTGTTCTTATTATATGGCCGTGAGGATGTAATTTTTTTTATGTTTGAGAGCTTTTCTTTTTTCTCTAGAGGGTGGAGTAAGACGGTGGTAACCATATTGCTCACAAAATGATCCCATAGTTTCACCAAATCTAAATTTACTAGTTTGTTGTTTATCTTTATGATCTTGACATATTTGTAATCCTTCCTTTTAAATGAAGGCAAACAACTGACCATAGGTTATAGAATCCCATGGAATTGGTTGACCTCCAGAAAAATCTTTTAATTTACTTATTAGTCGTTCGGCAAAAAATGATGGCAATCCTGATATAAACCTTTCTTTCCAGGAAGGCTGATTACAATCATTTCTTTGAAATATATTAGTTATAAATATATCCTTATACCATTTAAAATCTCCTAAGGTTGGGCATCTAAGATTTGTTAATACTAGTTTTTTACTGGTTAGTTCTTCAGTAGGGTTTCCTACAAAATGCATAGTCATTGTGTGTAATAATACTTCTATAGCATTTTGAATTTGTTCTTCTTCATAGATTCCATCTTCCCCTTCTACTCTTCTAGTTTCTACGTGGTTTATTATAGAGTCTTGAGATATAGTATCTAATGCATTATCCCAGCAATATTTTAAGGCTCCATTGAATCCTGAAATTAAGAGGACACATGCTTGTTTGTCCGTCAAGCCTTTAGCTTTATAGGCTAAACCAGCAATCCCCATTTCTTGAAATAAATTCATCATTTCATATTCTGATCGACCGTCTATATTCCATTCATATATACCTTCTCTTGTGTAAAAATTTGCGGTTGGGAACTTATGATGTTCTTCAAATAATAGGTCAGGTGGTGAGTGTCTAGGATAATATGGTTTTTTTGAAGGTTGAAAGTTTCTCTTTATACGATTGATTTCTTGTTCGTCATCAGTGTCTATCTGACTATTTTCATCAATATTGTTTATACCTTTATTTTTATCTAGTTGTTCTAGCCTGCTAGAGATAGATTTTAAAATTTCATTTTCTGGAAATTTAACTGGTTTAGTCAAAGGTTTAAAAAGAGGCGTTGAAATAGTACTAAAAGGATGTGTTAGGGTTTGATAATTATTTATTAGATTATATTCCTCTTTGTCTAGTTTATTATCTATATGGTCTATTTGTCGTGAGATAGTATGAAGTATTTGACTTTGATAATTATTTTGTTTGTAAACTATTTTTATATCGGCCATGTTTACTATGTCTTATCATCCCTATTTGCTCCAGTTCTAAACGGAGTAGCTACGACTTGTCTTTGGGGTGTATATAATTTTAAATCTTTTAAAGGTGGATGAATTGATTTAATTTTTTCTCCCCTCGTCATTTCCCAAGTATTATATAAAGTTGAACTAGTGTTAATTGATTCACTTTTATAAGGGTAGTCTATTTCATTTTCTTGAGAATACGTTTCAAACCATGTAAAAAACGAAATATTAGTTTCTATTTTATTCATCTCATTATACCAGTTTCTCGGTAACTAATAGTTGTTTCTTTAGTAAATGTTTTAAAATACCATTGTCTTTTATTTTTATTCTTATCAGATAAAAATTATTCTTTAAGGTATTGTTTATTAATTTCAAAACATTTTGAAATAACATTTATAGATTTAAAATCTGAGGGTGTTGGAGAAGTGGGAAAGCTAGATCATACTTCTGATTTTTGAATAGGTTCAGCAATTGGTGCTTGAAAATTAATAGGTGTTTTTTCTTGATTTCTAATCAAAATTTGTTCTATACTTTCATCAGATTCAGTACTAGCTCTGCCTGTTCTATAATCAAAAAAAGAAGATCTTGGGTAAAAAGAACTAATTCTTAATGATGATGGTTCTCTAAAGGATCCAAATTTTAATAATATTCTACCATCCGTTTGTTCAGTTATATCAGTAATAGTTTTTTGTTCAAAATTTCTTGGTGGTTGTGTAATATTAATTTTCCATTGGCCAGAGATAGTAATTTCTGTCCATTTTAGTTGCTTTGGAGTATAAGTAGATGTGGGAGTATCTTTACTATGAACAGCTAGTATTGTTGTTTCTCCTTTATCATCTTGTAATAAACATCTAGGATTAAAATCTGATGTGGATTGCTTAAAATATATTCTATACAATAATAGATAGCCATGCCTTTCTTGTTGGAATTTAATTTCTGGTAAGTGTACATTTAAAACTAAGGTATTAAATATTGTTGGATCATGTAGGCTTACTTGAAAATTTGGAGCACAATTAAAATGTACAGCTCCATTACATAAATTTGTTTGAACAGCTCCCAATAAGGAGTCTTCAAATTTTAGTAGAGTTTTGTCTCTTAATAACATAAGTATTGGAGAATCAATCCCTGTCCTAGACAAAGGTTTGATTGCTATTTGTATTAATCCAAAATGAAGATAATTAAAGTTTTTTATTCTATATTTTTCTAAAGCCATAGAGGATAATAATTTTATTTATTCAAATTCATTTTGTAATGATATAGTTTGTTCATGTTCTTTGATAGAATATACAGTTTTAAAATCAAAAGTTCCTATTTGATATATATTTTCTAGACTAATATGAGGAAGTTGATCATGTGATATTTCTTGATTAAATGTTGTAATTTTTGACATTACTTCTCTTGAATTAATTGTCTTTTGAGTTGCAGAAGAAGATGCATGTTTTGATCTAAACCATTTTCTAACTGAAGATGCCATGTTTAAACTATATTATAACTCAAAGTAAAATGCAAACTAACCGATCTTTTCGAGGACGGAACGACGGCTTACCAACGGACTCACTGCCTTAAGGACTTACAGCCTGGAACACCTAGGTTGACAACGTACTCGGCAAGGTTCTGATAGTTTGATTGTTACGAGAGAATAAGTATAGTCTAAGCATATTATCTTTAGTTTTGAAAAGTTTTATTCAAAACAGTAATTCTTATAAAAATAAGTACTTATAATTGGTGAAAACTTTTTGGCTCTGATACCATTAACCCAGGTTATACTTATTTATAATTTAGGAAAGATTGTATAATGTAAATTATAAAAACTGAATGATAAATATAAAAGTAAAACTGAAATTGCAAATAGTGTATGAATAAAACTTACTTTATTGATTTCTTAGAAATACAAGGTTGAAATACAAAAGTAAAAGTACAACTGAAAGATGAAAATATTAAGAGAGTTTGTAGTGCAGAGAATTTTCTCGAGAAGTCTCACTGAAAATCGCTCTGCCTTTTACAATAGACTTGATTCCTTTTTATACTAACTTGATGGAAAGAGTTTGTGTGATGTCGTGTTGTTTCCTTGGAGGCTTGAGTGCTGAGTAATCTTGATGTAGTGAAGTGTCTTTATTTGTGAATGAGTAGTGTCCTGTTGCAGTCTTGAATATATCTTGTTGCCGTAATTGATGAGTTTGTCTTGATTGTTGACTTTGTCCATTTGCTTGATTAATGACTTTGGCTCCTTGGTAGCTTTGAACTGAAGTAAGCTTTGTTGAAACTTGAGTTTTGCAGAGTTTCTTGTTTATTCTTCTATTCTTGTTTTGTTGATTTCTTTTCTTTTTTCGTTTTTTTTAAAATAAAATTTATCTATTCTTCGTACGGGTCTTGTGAGAGTGGGCCACCGTATGGGTTTTCGCTTTCCGTATTTGTATCCTGAGTTATGTCTTCTTCTTCGTCAGAGGAGATTTGCATAGCGATCGCTTCTAGGAATTTTTTGAGTTTATCATTTCCTTTACTTTTCTTGGATCCGGATGATGATGTTGTTGACTCTGTTGGGCTTGGTGGTTTTTTGGTTGGAGATTGTTTTGTTTGTATGGGTGGAAGAGCTCGGGATACAGTTGCCACGGATTGTTTAAGTTGGTTGTGGGTTTTGGATCCATTTTTCTACGTTGGTAACAGAACAACGGTCTAAGCTGTATTTGTCCCACCATTTTACTCGGTATTCTCGAACTAGAGAGTATGGCATATCGGGTAAAAACATAACAAGGTTAAAATGCCAGGATAGTATCTAGGGTATGCCCATGTCAATATGGAAAGCTATTTTTGGTAGGGGACCTATGGGTGAATCTTTTTCATGTTTGGTATAGTAGGGTAAGGATACTTTTGGTATTTGGGTTGGATAAATTTGGTCACATGGTCCAAACCAGTGCCACCATTCATAGAACCAGCCTGGTATTGTATTTGGGCAATGGAAGTCAAAGGATATGAACCAGGAATGGTCGTAAGTTCGTAGATATAGGGCATGAAAGAAAGCTTTTTGGTAATCTACATAAGAGAATCCCGGAATATGGTACCCAGAAATGGAGAATTCTTTGGTGGTGTGAAAATTCATAAATCCAAGGTCTGAGGCGGTACATACTTTTAGGATCTTGCATGTAGAGTAAGAGATAAGGTTTGGGTTAGTTTTATCAGTATGATGAATAATCTCTACTGATTTGGTGTCCACAAGGATGAATTCGTAAAAGATATGGTTTTTGTTTAGATTATCAGTGATGAACTGACTATCTTCGTAGAAAAGACGATTGGTAAAAAAGTTTTAAGTCTTTGAGGGATATGGGGTTGGTAAATGAGGTGGTGGTTAAGTGTTGACGTTGTGGCTTAAGGAAATAGGTGGATTTTTGGTCAGTAGTTTTCTGTATTGGAGGTGTAAGGGTTATCTTCTGTGGTGTCGGGTTAACAGCCTTTGCATAAGATAATGGAGGAAATTCTGCTAATGCAGAAAATTGGTTAGTGGTAGATATAGGTTTTCCTTGTAGGTGAGGTTGAATCTTGACATAATCTGCTGCTGACATTGGTCTTTTTTGTTCACTCATTTTGATGGTCTTGTGTTTTTCCCTGTAAACTATATAAAGTAAGTAGGTTGGTTAGAATATAGAAAAATCATAAAGATTAATAAGTTAAGTCTGTTTATGTTAATATCAAAAAAATAATAGTATTAAGTTAACACTGTATGCTTATAATTTAAAACTAGCGGATTGTTTATAATGGGTGCAAACGTTTTGAAATATATTTTGTTAACTTAGTTTTTGTTAAGATACCAGGTGGTCTTCTATACCATGTGCAGGCTCAATTTTTTAATTTAAATTATATTTTAAATGATTTTTTAAAATTTAACATTTTATTATTTATAGCAGTATTTTAATATAATTTTATTAAAGTAATATAAAATTAAAATATAATAAACAATTTTTATTTATTTTTAATTATATGTAAGAATATATAAGTATATATATTTAAACTTTTAATTTTAGATTAATTTATATTTATTTATTTGAGCTAAGATATATTAAATTAATTTGTGTAACATTTGGAAAATGATATAAGATTGTAAATTTTTCAGAAAAATACTAAATAGAATTTATAAAATTTGTAGATATCAAAAATATGAATGATAATGTTTAAAAAGATGGTATAAAATTTTGACAATCTTGTTTAGTTAATAAAATTCTATAATTCTAAAATAGATAAGATATTATTTCAAAATTTGTAATTTTTAATTATATATTTAATATATTATTTTAATGATAGCATATAATTTATTACCATATTTAAATATATATATATATATATATATATATTTAATAAAGACATAAGTTATTACTATTTTTTCAACAAAAAACTATTCTATTGGTATGAAATTACCATAGTTTAAAAAGTTAACAAAAATAAAAATAATATTAAATTTGATTATCCATGTCACCTTTTATTTTAAGCCATGTCATATTTTCTTTATATGACATATCATCATTTTTAAGTGAAATTAAATGTAGTGATAACACATGTCAAAATTAATTCACAAATATTGTATAAGAGATTATCTAAATGTAGTATTAATTTAAATAGTTTTGCTATACTGTATAGATTCTAAAATAATGTAGGTATGCATTAATGTAAATTCAGCAATATGTTTTTTTCTAAATTGAGAAATATTTTTTTTTGGTGTAAAAATTCAGCAATATAATTGAGTGAAGATATACTTATTCTTTTTTTTTTTCAAATAGTTCATTTAAATTTAATTTTCTGGTGCTCTTATCAACATAAAATGCGAGAATATATGTTGAACAATCAAACTATATTCTTTTTATTTAAAACTGAAAAGATATTGCCTATATCATACCAAATACTTAAGTAGATACCAATTAGAATACTGACATTTTAAGTATTAAATTAGATTTTAATCAGCGTTTTCAAAGCGCGGGATTATGTTTATCTTTAAATATTTTAACATTTTTTAATATAAATAAAAAGACCTATTTGTTCGATTCGTTCCTATTTGATAAATATTTGTATAGTTTATGAAATAATCTTGAAAAATGCTATTTGTGAAAATCTCTACTTATTAGTAGTAGATTGGTTTTGAAAGTCCATTTTATTTAAGTTTTTAAATATTAATTTAAAAAGAATTAGAATTTTAACATTTATAAAAAAAAATATAATTGATAAGCACATATATTTATTATATTTATGTAATATAAATATAAAGAATAATTAAATTAAATTTTAAAAATTTCACTGATCGACCAGAAAAAATATATATTGTTAAAAAGTTTGCTTAGTGCATCTAATCGTGTTAGACCGGCACTGTTTCCATAGACACACACAACTTCACCTATAAATAAATGAACGACTTTGCTTCTTCACTCTCATTTCCAATCCCTCAACATAAACCTCAAAAAGCGATCCAATGGCACAACCCTCAAGTTTTGTTCTCACAGCTCCCCAAGGAAAAGATATGTATGGCCCATGGGACCTTAGTTCACTGATCGACCAGAACTTTCATCTCGGTGTCGCACCATTCACCAAAGAATACTTCGGAGCAGTCAGACTTGGGTCATTGGGTATTGCCTACTTATGCGTCAATGTCAAATTTACAGGTCTTTCTCTTTACCTCTCCATCGACACTGAGAAATTCCTCGTCGCAAACCTCGTACTCAACTCCAAGCCACACCTAACTGACTTAGCTATCTCCTCTGACGACACCAACTTCGTCGCTCCGTGTAAGGGCTGAGAACTGTAAATATTATTGAAGCAGAAAGGAACTTAAAAAAAGCATAAGAGGATTTACAATGACACAACTGTAAATACTTGCAAAACATAAGAGGATTTCAAGAAAGACTCTTTTGTCTTAATAGTATAGATATTATGGTACTTTTTTAACACTATAGATGATTATACTATCTTCAAAACAGTTGTTACAACCATTGTTACAAACTAAGCCAGCGATTACAAGAAATTCAGTAATATAAGGCCGACGATTACAAGAAATCCCGGAATACAATACCGGCGGATTAGACTTACATCCCCAGAATCATAAGCCCACAAGAGGTAGACAATATGAAAACATAAACCTAACCCGAGAGATAACAACAGCACAAGCATACAACTAGAACATCAAGAATAATTAAAACAGAATCAGAGTGGAGATAAGCAAATTGCATCTAGACTTAGAAAGAGAACCTTAGAGAAACAAATCGATGGAGACAAAGTTAATCAAACCACCGAGAATAGAAACCTCCTATAGTGAATGGTCCAAACAATTAACAATGTTCCTCTTTTAATAGAGTACTAGTAGTTGCAGAATAATTATTTTTATATTACTAATATGTTTTATTTTATTTTTAAGATTAAAACTAAAAACCATTATTCATAATCGCTATTCAACTTTTTCTGAAAACCAATATTTACACCAAAATCAAAATCAAAATTTAAAACTAAAATCCCAAAAAAACTAAAATGAAAAATTAAAGTTAAGCAAACAATCAAGAATTAATCCTAGATTACAAAGGATAAAATCAAAATAATAGTGTTGTTAAAAAAACGATTAAAAGAATAGCTATCAGTGTTTTTCATTAGGGGCTATATGTACATCGCCATAAAAGATTGTCATTTCAGAAAAAAATTGTCAAAAATCAAGACCAAAATCTTAATTATCATGGATAAGATCAAAATAGTAGCCAACCATGTGGCTTCTATTCGGGGACTATTTTCATATTGCTAGAGAAAGACTGATCATCCTGAAAAACCCCCAAACATTCAGAATCTAAATCTAAATTATGACAGATAAGATCAAAATAATAACCACCCAAGTGTCTTTCATTTGCGGGCTATATTAACATAGAGAAAGATTGATCTTTCGAAAAAAGCGTCAAGTGAATGAGTCTGATGACTGTTGGATATTTTTGTCTTTATTCTCTTACAACATTTAGAGAAATATCAAAATGAGAATCTTTAAATTAGGTAATGTTCAAAGATAGACTTCACAACATTTGATCTATTTAAATTAATCCACTTTTCTGTCTTTTGATTTGTCTTTCTAATTTTTGTTTTTGAGATTTTCAAATAAAAACTTTGTTATTTCATATAAATGATATTTTACTTATATCTGGATCATGAAATGAATAGAAATACTCTTAAAAAAAAACTTTATATGATGACAAAAAATTTTTTAAAAAAATTCTTTAGAAAATAGTTTTTTTATAAAGAGCTAGTTTCCCTAGATTGTACGAAAACTATTTCTCAAAAAACTTGATTACCTAAAAATTGTTTTGTTTTCAAAAACAAAACAAAAGCTAATTTAAAATCTGTAAATAGTTAACTTCTAAAAATTATGCAAACAATCAAGATCTCATTCCATATTACGTATAACAATATCAAAATAGTAGCCATACACTTGTTTTATATTTGGATGCTATATTCACATCGCTAGAGAAAGATTGGTTTTTGGAAAAAACCGTCAGAAAGAATTAATCCGGTGTCTCCTATATTGGATTTCTTCATCTTAAAGCTCTCTACTCTACTCGCCAACCTTCAGAATCAATTGTTATTGTTCGTCGAGATGATGCTTCAAGAACTATCCAAAAAACCCGCATATGATTAGATTTGACGATTTAATGGAGCACCACCTAACAAGGCGAAGAGATATCCAGATCTACATGCTCGTATCTTGTCGATATGATTCCTCTTGAAGAAACTACCTAAGTATCTATTGAAAACTTCGCTTCACCATTTTTTCACTAACTGGAAGTAAGATTTTACGTTACCAAGAGAGAGACTCAGAAAGCAAATATGAGCAACTAAAAGGTGACAAATGAAAATAAAACATAGAAAATCATCTATGGAACTGAATCGGAATTTCTTATGCTCTTGCATAATGTCATTCAGTTTTTATTTTATTTTACATATAACATAAGTTGAAACAAACATAAAGACATTAATATTAAAAGCTAAATTCAAAATAAATATTTATTGATACATATATCATAAGTTTTAGAGTCTCTTATTTGATCTCTACTGCATCAGCATTCTTCTGGAAATTTGTCCTCTGATTCAATCTTTCGAGCTTTACCATTGACATCTTGATGATTTTCTGTACGATAATTTTTTTAGTTCCCACACAAGGTCCTTTCTCTTTTTCCTCGTTAGTCTCACTTCTAGCATCAACTAACCCCATATGTGCAGCTGATATTATTGGGGAAATATCAAGATTGACTCTTGCACTTGGGACACATATATGAACCGTAATTTCCATTTGGTAAGCTATGTGTTTGATACTTGCTTTCACCATCTCCGTTACTTGTGCCGACTTGGGTGTAATTGATAGGTTCAGGATAAAAGGTTTCCCACTGATTATTAAAATTGTTTGGAGGGTGAATGGTTGGATCAGAAGTTATAATACGTTCATGACTATTTTGGCTAGTGACCATATTATTGGTCAGAACCAAACCATGATCATACATGTTTGAGATAGTTGGAGTGACCTTACAAAAATCATCTGGAGAGTGATTCCAAATGTTTTGACCATAATTTATGAAACGTTTGCCACAGTCATGGACATTTTGGCTAGTGACCATATTATTGGTCGGGAGAGTAGCATGGTGATACATTTTTGGGATTGTTGGAGAGGCCAAAACTGGAGAAAACTGATGGTTAACAAATTGTGAGATTTGAGGCATTCTCACAGTAGAAACGATATTACTTCTCGTATGATAAACCATGCGCCTGTTGAATCTTAAGGTAGATGAACAGACTTGCGAAGCATGGTAAAAAGAAGTAAAAGGTGGAGATGGAGTAAAAAAATTGGCATGGTTTGTGTTTCCAGATGTAACAAACGTTGATTGAATTGTTCGAGTCTTATTTCAGTTAATCTGGATGGAAACAAAATCATTTTGGTTCATGGTATTATTAGCACAAGGGATGAACTCATTTGGTAGGGAAGGCATCTTGAGAATGAGTGTGTGTTTTTGACCCTTAGCATATCTATCTATTTATCGTGTTAGTATGCATACATAAATGGTAAAATATATTTTTATAAAGAAAAATATAAGGAATCACATATTTCATTGACTATTTTTACTACCAACGAAAGTTCTGGGAAAGTGGCTGATTCCCCCCCCCCCAACAAACTAATTGTTTCCGACTTTTTCATACATTATTTTAAGCAATGAATGTGGGATAGTGTATATAAGCAAAAATGAAAACATTGACTGTAAGAGTTTAGAGAATTCGTATGGTCGTAATCCATATGGGCAAGTTATGATGTATTTGTAAGTATAGAGCCATGAATTTATATGAGAATATGGCACAAGGGATGTATTGTAGGTGTTATGATGTATTTGGAAGTATAGAGCCATGAATTTATATGAGAATATGGCACAAGGGATGTATTGTAGGTTAGCATGTTCATATCGTTATTGTAGACATTTATTCGTATAAATGTTTTTGTACAATGTCAAGTTATGTAATGAATCAATAGAGATATTTTATGCTTAATTATGAACTTCTTCTACAGGTTTCATAACTCGGAAAAGCTTTGTAATCACGTATCAAATTCAGATTTATTATTGTAATCACGCTATTATACAAATGAGCTATACCAATGGCATCTCTTTGTATTTATTCTAGAGTAATGAAATGGGTAAATTTAAAAAGAAGATAAAGAGAGCTATCAAATGAGAGCAGAGACGTGGTCATATCAGACCTTATCTCTCTCTCTCTCGACCTCTCATATTCCCTTCTGGTTTCTCCGATGACTGGCGTGTGGCGGCTCCGTTAGCGCCATCGCCGGTCCAGCTCCCTGTATCTCTTCTTAGATTGTAGTTTGTGTGGTCTTTAGCCTTGGTGGTCGCGAATCTGAACAAGCGGAAGGTCTGAATCGAAGAGCTCTCTGGTCGACGTTGTTGCAGCGACGCTGGGAATGGCTTTGGTGGAGTTCGCTGGCGTCTCGATGTGGTGGCTCATGCTGAATCCGAGTTGTTTCTTTCTAGCTTGAGAGGGTTTGGAAAAGCAAAAGGTACAGGATCCAGAGTTGACTTTTCGGTGGTCGTGGGCGGTTTGGTCTGAGCCAGTCACCGGTGAAGGGAAAAGGATTATGTTCACCTGGAGTTATCTTGTTTGCGGCCCTCCAATTGCGGTTAGTACATATAGGTTTTAGTCTATGTCTAGGGTTGTGGAGTTGTTGTCTTTGTGATGAGCAAAGGTTCGATGGCGTGACTGTGAATGGTTGGTACTTTAGATCTGGTTCGCGGTGGTAGTCATTCCGGTTCAGATATGTGTTGTTGTGGCTTACAAATCGTTTCGGTTATTAGCCTGGACTCTGAGCTCTTGCAGTTTCAACTCTTTCCATGCTTTCTATCTCTTTGTTTGTTTGGATATGGAAGAATGATCATGGTTTGCGCTTAAGCCTGTTTTTTTTGTTCTCAATAAATGTGGAGGGTTTCTGCTTTGTTCAGTGACAAGAGTGTCTTTTTTGGTCCTCATATGAAGTTCCAAATGGTTTTATTTGTGCTACAATATGGCTAGAGCTAATGGAAGTACCAGCTTAATGTTGTGCGAGCTTTAAGGTCTCTGCCACTCTGGTTCCTTAGGGCATGGTTATCGCCATATCTTAGGCCCATATCTTAGCTATTATTGCCCGAAATAAAAATGAAAAATACAGGAAACTCTTGCAAACGGGCCATCTCACTTCTTAGTTAAGAAGTTTTTTGGGCTCGTCCTTCAGGGACAGGTGTCAACTTTTCACGAGCGTGTAGGGTAAAGTGTCTCTCTCTTTCTCTCGTTCTTCTCATTTCGGCGTGGAAATGATCAGTGCTCTCTCGACGGCGATTTGGTGGGGGAATTAAATCTTCTCGTTTATTCATCCGTCATCCCAAAATTTCACCGGCGATTCATCGATTTGTTGGTACCTCCACAGCCGCCCATTGCCCTAATCGAAATCCTCTGCTCCGCCGATTGAAATCTAAAAAAAGGTACGTGTTCGTTCTCCGTTTTTAGAGATTTCATTGCTGTTTCTGATTGTTTGGTTTGTGCATGGTTCGGAGAAGTCTTTCTCGTCTGCGAAAATCTTGAAAATAAAATTGTTTGCTTTGTGATTATGTGAGATAATTAAAATTGTTGTTTCTGATTGTTTGGTTTGTGCATGGTTCGGAGATATGTTTGAAATCGTGTTTGAATGTTCATGGGGGATTGACAATTTCTATTAACTAAAGTTTTAAAATCGTGTTTGAATTTTCATTTGGGATTGCCATTTTTAACAAAATTTTAATTGTCTATTGTGAGATTGTAATAAAGCTTATCTTCTATTGTTAGATTATCATACTTAACTCTTTAAAGAACATGAACTGACATATCCACCAAATTACGATAATTATTAATGTTAGCTCTGCTTTTGTACCATTTTACTGTGGTGGTTAATGCTTAGTTTAAAGTGAGCATTGAAGTGTTGTGCTATTACTTGCGAGTAGACTTCTCACTGCTCTGGTTGGTGTCTTAATGCTTAGTTACTTTTGTTTGAACGATGTGTAGTTTCCTTGAAACCAAATGCAGTTTTACTTTACTGAAGTTGTGTAGTTTCCTTGAAACGATGTCTAGTTTCCTTGAAACCATAATGCTTAGTTACTTTTGCTTATTACTTCTGCGTAGTTAGAGTGTATTGAAAGCAAACCCTATTTAACTTTAATGACATTGTACGACCAACTTGATAGCTTTGTAGTTCTCTTATAGGATATTTACTTCTGATTAGACTTTGGTTGTTTATGGTTACACATTATTATAGGAACTTATTACAAATCAACCTCGCCTATTTAACGTAAACCATCCTCCTCCATTCTATCATATAATCTCATTCATCTTGTTTTTTGCTGAAACCCTTAACCACAACATTTTATCTTCTTCACTATCTTCTCTTTTATCATTCCTATGGATTCAAGGCATCCATATACCTCGTCCTCGAGTTATGTAGGCCTTCTAAACAGTCAAAACGAGAGTGTCCAACAGGGAAACTTTCCTTACGAAAGTTTTCCTTCTAGTGTAGTCTTTGGAGCTTCAGAAATACCTCCTTTCAGTTCACAACAATCTGAAGCTCCAACTCAACACATACCCGTGGAGCGCAAGGAGAGAATGAAATGGACCCCAGCCGATGACATGGTGTTAATCAGCGCATGGCTAAACACATCCAAAGATAATATTGTCGGAAATGATCAGTCACGTGGAACCTTCTGGCAACGCGTAGGAGACTATTTTGCAGCAAGTCCACTTGCTATAGAGAGGGGTGAAAAGAGAGAGCATCGCAACTGTAAGCAGAGGTGGCACAAGATAAATGAAGTCACTAACAAGTTCTGTGGAGCCTTTGCAGCTGCTGAGAGAGCGCACGGCAGTGGTCGGAATGAGATGGAACTCCTGAGTGAGGCTCATGACATCTTCTTGGCGAATTATAGAAAAAGGTTCAACCTTGAGCATGCATGGTGTGTGCTCAGGTATGAACAGAAATGGCTTTCACTCAATGCTCCTAAAGCCACAGCGAATCCTAAGAGAAAAAATAGTGAGGAAGTTTCCCAATCTTCAAGTACCGATGTTGGTATGGATGAGATACGCCCTGAAGGTATCAAAGCCGCAAAAGCCAAACAGAATAATGGTAAAGAGAAGGCTCATAATGATTATAAGAGCATTTGGGAGATCAAGAAGGCTGAGTTGACGATGAAGGAGCAGCTCTGTAAACTGGCTATACTAGACACACTCCTAGCTAAAAAAGAACCTCTATCAGAGGCTGAAGAAGTACTTAAGAATAAGCTAATGCTTCTTGCTTGAACGCTGTACTCTGTTTCTGTTTCTGTTTCATGTTGAATGTTTATGTTTCTGTTTCTGTTTCATGTTTCTATTTAAGTTTCTGTATGTGTTTCATGTTTAATTATGTACTTCAAGTACCGTTGTTGCTTTAATGACTCATGTTTAATTAAAATCTGTCTCGTTTGTTATATGTCGTGTACTCAGTGACTGCTTGAAATGATTGTGTTTTAAAATTGTTGGTTAAGCAAGCAGTTTGAACAAAAAAACCAGAGGAGGCTAGAGAACCAACATCAAAGCTTTCTTCATGCTATTTTAATTTCTTTTAAATGTATCCGACCCTTGCATGAACCATTAATTGGAATCCTCGATGTTATATCGACAGAAACCGAGAAGATGGCCACATAAAGCTCTGGAATGATTATTTTTCTGAAATTCCAACATACCCGGCCAATATTTTCCGGCGACGATTTCGAATGAGCAGGCCGTTGTTCATGCGTATTGTTCATCGTCTCTCAACAGAAGTAGAGTATTTTGCTCAAACAGAAGATGCAGTCGGACGGCAAAGTCTAACACCGATCCAAAAATGCACTGCAGCAATTCGTCAATTAGCATATGGTGGTGGGGCTGATACGGTAGACGAATATGTCAGACTTGGTGAAACAACAGCTCGAAAATGCTTGCACAAATTTACCGCTGCAATTATCCACTTGTTTGGCGATGAATATCTGAGACGTCCAACACCGGAGGATCTTGTAAGACTACTACATATCGGCGAACAACGCGGCTTTCCCGGGATGATTGGGAGCATTGACTGTATGCATTGGGAGTGGAAGAATTGCCCCACCGCTTGGAAAGGTATGTATTCACGAGGAACCGATAAACCAACAATTGTGCTGGAGGCCGTAGCTTCTTATGACCTCTGGATATGGCACGCATTTTTCGGAGCTCCAGGTACTATGAACGATCTTAATATTCTTGATCGATCACCTGTTTTTGATGACATTATTAATGGAGTAGCTCCGCAAGTCAACTTCCATGTCAACGGGAGAGAGTACAATTTCGCCTACTATCTCACGGATGGTATTTATCCAGAGTGGGCGACATTTATTCAATCTATCCGACTACCACAGGGTCCAAAACATTCATTATTTGCTAAAGTCCAAGAATCTGTCCGAAAAGATGTTGAGCGGGCCTTTGGCGTCCTGCAAGCTAGGTTTGCCGTTATTAAAAATCCATCTAATTTATGGGATAAATCGAAGATAGCAAATATTATGAGAGCATGTATCATACTCCATAATATGATTGTCGAAGATGAACGACGTACACGGACTCAAGATGACACGTTTCAAGATGAGGATTTATCTTTTTGCGTCAAGATGCCCACTCAGCTTTTCAATACACTTGATCGTCGAGCAAGAGTTCGGGATAGACCGGTCCATAAACAATTAAAATCCGATTTGATCGAAAATATATGGGATCGATTTGGAACTGAAAATTAACATTTTCTCTTTAAGTTTCTATGAGTTGAATAAAAAAATTGCTTGTTGCAATTTTTAATCTTTTTTTTTTAACTTTGAAATTTTTTTTTATCTTTGTAATTTTTTTCCAAATTTGTTATTCTCAAATGTTTTCTATTTTATTAGTGTTATATGTTTTATTAATGATATATGTTTGATTTTAAACAAAAATAACTTACTAAAAATAACTATTTAACTAAGAACCGAAAAAAATATCTACCAATAATCTTCTCTTTTACACAAGTATCTTAACTTCATCTCTTAATCTACATATATTAATAAACTATCCTAAGAAGCTTCTTCCTCGTCCTAGCAATGAGGATGCCCTTAGTTCTTGGGATAGGAAGTTTCTTCAAAGTCCACAAACAAGATTCCTTGACTTGTTTCTATTCACAATTTGAAGATCGGTGCACTCTTTCCCAATGGTTGCTATCATCAGGACATCTACTATGGTTCCTTCAACAAAATTCTAGGCTTGAATTTTAGTGTTCCATCTTTTCTTTTTTTCCATTTTATTGTAGTTTCATCTGGCTCTGGAAGGATTGCTATTCTTGCCAGCTCTTAACTCTGGAAGGAATGTGTTCCTTGCCGGCTTACGTAAAAACTATCATGTTTTCAAATTAATCCAACAGACAAAAAAAAAAAAAAGAGACTTATCAAACTGACACAACAACATAATGGCAGTATTGTAATTTTATTACAAAATAAAAGTTATTCCTCTAAATTGTTTCTCTATTAATAATAAAGGGATGAGAAGATGTGTTGAGCAAGGAGAAAAAATCTAACAACTTAGGCTCTCTCTAACATGTAAAAACATAACTGTAAATTATGATCCATACAAGTTAACTACTACTCTCCTAAACCGGCCTTGGTTAAGGCTAAACCAACAATAACAAACAGCAGCAACATCACCAACAACAACAGATGCAGAACCAGGCCAAGTCCCTATTTTATACACACAAACCACACGCCCTCTCAACCACATTCCTTCCTTTATTGAATTGACCAACAAGTACAAGCCTCAGCTGAATTTTCCGGTTAGACTGCAAACCGACATAGCAAACACAACCGCAACCACACCCGCTTTGAAAAGCCCTCTGTATGAATATCCAATAGCTGCAAACTTCTTGAATATGGATCCGGCTTTGCTCTTTGATCTCATGGAAACTTCTACTTCCTGCAGGAATTCGTCAAAAAAGAAAAGGTTAGAAATGGTAAAACATGTGAAAGGGTTTCCCAACATATGAAGATAAAACTCTTCTCACCTCTTGCTTGATACATTGGAGCTGAGGACTGTCATCTTCTGACTTGTTATGGTTAACCTGAAGACGCAACCTTCTTGATGCATTCCCCTGCATTGCAAACTGCTCAGCACCACCAGGGGCTTGTGGCCGTCGTGTCCTAATCCTGATTCCTGTCTCAGACACATCGTTACTGATCTTGTTGCTTGTGTTGACAAGACTCCGCGGCTCGTATGTCATCTGCTCTGGCGTCGGCTGCACTACATGTTTCTGCTCCGGAAACTCATAAGGAAACTCAAGAACCGAATTCAAGAGCTCAAACATAGATTGATCCGTCTCGTTTGAACCGTACTGTGTCTGAACATGAGCACCATTCTGGTTACTGAACAGTTCGGTTGAGCCAGATTGAAAACCATTGAAAGAGGATCCACACTCAGATTGCAACTGAGAGTGCAATGGAGAGAAGATATTGTAATCCAGAGTCTCCATCTCCAATGAGTTCCAATCAATATTGTCAAGCTGCTAATAGAAAACAAAGAATGTAAGTTCACAAGGTCATTAGCTCAACTGAAAAAGACCCTCAGAGGTCCCCAGTTCGAGTAACCATTGAGACTAAACTAATATTAAAAAAACGACTTATCTAACAAGAAAACTGGACTATGTTCATCCTTACCTCGGAGTTTGTAACTTCAGGGGGAGAGACTTCACTTTGACACTCGCCGGAAACAGCAAGGGAAGATTCAGCGACATCAGAAGCCTTTGTCTCTTCAGTTTTAGGGAAAGCCAAAGAAACCTCAGACACTTCAGTAGGAGATGAGACAGCTGGCTGTTCAACATCACATGACTGATGCACAACATCTTGCTTCTTAAACAATTTACATATAACAAATGGGTTCTGCAAAACCAAATTACAAATCAGACAAAGATTAAAACACACAAGTAATGTTTTGTTTTTTTTTCAAAATACCTGGCCAGGCTTAGTTCCATCAAGATCCTTCTCAGTAGCGCGATACTCATGCATAATCCAACATGTTCGTGTCCCCTTAGGAGCACGACCTTTGTAAAATACAAGAGTCCTCTTATCACCTATAATCTTCTTACTGTTCCCTGATTTGACCAAACGATCTTTCCCAGTGGCTTTCCAGTAGCCAGCAACGGTGGCTCGATTCATCCTACTCCCGCTCGGATACTTCCTGTCTACTGGACAGAAGAATAGCCACTCTGAATCTGTCGTCTTCACCACTGATAAATCTGCAAACACACAAAAAAAACAATCATATTATTTAATAAATAAATCAGATTTAAATTCAAAATGATTGATGTGAGAATCTAAAAGGGAGAAGATACCATACCAGGCAAATCCCATGGCTCCCGTTTGCAGATATCAACCTCACGGATCACTCTGACGTCGTCATCACGGCCGTTGATTTTTTGACGGAGATAGAAACGGACTAGCTCCTCGTCCGTTGGACTAAACCTGAACCCTACCGGTAATGAGTCAAGCGATAAGACTTCCATAGAATTTGAGTAATTCGTGTGAAATAAAAATTCGATCAGAGATGCGATTCAAAAGGTATCGAGAAGGAAATAAACAGATAGATTCCAGAATTTGAGAAGGAAAGAAAAAAAAAAGTTAGAGTCGATAAGATTTGGTAAAGTGAAGAAGATGAAGATGTGACACGATTTGGTTCAGACAAGGAAAAAAGAGATTGGAAAAGCAGCGCGTGGTAATTGTTTCGTATATATACACGCGCCACTTTCCGAGAAACAATAGAACCCACGTTCGTTACGCGTAAAGGGAAAGGTGTTGAATTATCTGTTTCACCCCTTGAGAGAGTGAAGAGGATACGAAAAAAACTGAATTATTACGGGGATACATGAGTAAAGTTGGCGTATGCCGGAAAGAGAGATGTCAGCTAGCGAATCATATATTGACACGTAGATGAAGTAAAGGAAGCTTCGTTTAAGTTTAGTTGCTTCTCAGTTTATTCAAGGAAGCTCTACGGCCCGACAAGTTTTGGTACTAGTATATAAATGGGCCATCGAGCCCATCTTATTCTAGAGTTTTTTTTGTAAGCCTACAAGTGCGATCCGAAATACCCATTTACAATTATCATAAAGTTCATAATATGACCATGTCAACTGGAAACATATAATACTGTAATCAGTGGTTTCCATTATTTTCTAAGAGCAACCTTACTAGTAAGAACCACATTTAGTATCTCAAACAAAAAAAAAAAATCAATATTTTAAGATGATTTGTTAGGTAATTAAGTTTTAGTATGGAAAAAAAATAAACTACTAGACAAACGACAGGTGGTGTAAGGAGTTCTGCGTTTCACAAAATATTTCAGTTAAGAATTATTTATTATTCTTTCATTACCTATTCAACTATTTTGTTATTTTTATGAGAACTCTTTGGATACTTTCAATTGACACACTCTAAGTTCTAAAAGCAATTGTAGCCTTTAGTCTTTCCATAATATTTTTTTGCATTCGAAGTTTGAGTACCAAAAATGTTGTGTAAAGAGTACAAATATATTGTGAATTAGTGTTTTAAATAAAGTGAAACAAAATTGTTTGCATCAGCCATGGTGTGAGACAGGAGAACAATGCAAGAAACCAGAAAAGAAATTAAAACTACAGGAAACATATTGGTTGAAAATGTTAAAGAATACCGAATGAACGTTGTAACTACAACAACAACATTTGTAACTACAGAACAAGCTTCTCTATTGTTGCAAGAGACATTGATGGTGAACGTTGTTGTTGATGGTGAACGTTGGTGCAACACCTGAAAAACGTGGATGAAAGAGTAGTTGTTCCACCAGAAAAGGTTGAAGTGGCTGCGATCGAAACTAATGCACCAAAAAATATTGAGGTGGATGCATGTGAAAATGTAATGGACTGAACCTCAAAATCAAAGAGTCTTTTTTGGCGGGTATTGCCACGCGGTTAATTACGACCACTTAGTAGTGAAACATGAGTGTACTAGGAAGGAGAACGAACATATGTTTGATTTTAAAATATAAGTAGTTTTTTATTAATGTAAAATATTCCGGATTATAAAATAGTTCAAACTAATTTTAAAAGATATGTAGGTCACATATGAATTTTCTCTTCAGATATTCAAATTTAGTTCAAAACATGATTTTATATCCACAAAGCCATACACAATGTTGTGTTGTAATTTCGAATCTGACAACTTCTCAAAGTCTATCTACCGATAGATCACCAGTATGTGGTTAAATAAATATATATGTGGTTTTTGCCTTTTGTTGTATGGGGTTGACTTTTTTAGGAGTCAGAGTTGTTGTATGGACTTATATTATTATTTTTGGTCAAAATTGTATGGACATTTGATATATTTTTGCGAAGGATAGACACGGATGATATAATAACATAATTTTAATTATTTTTATTTGATTTATATTATACGGATATCTGATTTATTTATGTGTTTTGTATATAATACGGATATCCGATTTTCTGTATATCCAAAACGTTTTTAGATAATTACGAAAGTTTACTGATTTTAGAGATATCTCATCCATCAATACTATTAAATTAGAAATATGCCCAATTCATAAAATGTTATGTTCAACAATTATAACTGCATTTAAATATTTTGTAACCACTATTTTCAAAAGATAAACCAAATATTTTATAACAGTTTTCCTTTAATTCCTATATTCTAGGATCAATAACTACCACATTTATGAAAGTGTACAAATAAATTACTTTATATCCTCGACTAAAATATGTATAATAACTACACCATTTTTTTTAAAAAAAAAATCTACCTATTTATTATGGACAATATATATTACTAATCAACAAATAATACTTTACTTATACATTATACATTAGTTAATCCAGTGAATTAATATCCACCTTTATTCTTACTATTATGATGCTACTAATATTTAAAATCTAAGTTTATGCTTTATATTTACAAACCTTGTCCTTTTAACAAAATAGATAATATTAATATAATATTATTTACCATTGAAAAAGTTAATGTGAAAAGTATTTTCATTTATCAATAATTAGATTTTTATTCAGTTTCATGAAATACATATTAGTTGATTAATTTATCTACCAAATTATAATTTTGCATATAAATAAATTAAATATTAATTATCATGAAACTAAATTTAATTTAAAACAAAAATAAAAGAAAGTTAGCTTTATTTAGGTTTTTTTGGGTCAACCATTATCGGATCATGGGTCCGTAAAAATTTTATGGGTTTCTAACCGAGTTTTATGAAGTTTTTTAAATAGAAATTTTATAATTTAATTTAAAGTCTGAGATGGATTATATGCAGATCACTTGTTTTATCATTTCTTATTGTGGACTCATATCAAATATGAAAAATATCGTAAGTAGATATTGAAATTATATTATAAATTAAATTTAGAAAAATATGGATTAATACAATAAATCAATATTTTTGAGTATATAGGTCAAAATTAAACGGACTCGGAAACCATACTTACAAGGAGATTTCACATAGGTTTTCCGAATACAAATATTATTAATTACGTTAATAATTCAAAATTCTAATAAATGTAAAAATATCCTGATTTTAGTTATACCTGATTACATAATACATAATCAAAATCGTTTCTATTAAAAGATTAACATATTATAATTTTCACATTGATAATGTTTTCTTTGTAACATTTAAATGTAAATAAATAATAAAAATATAAATTTATATAAAATAAATTTGATTAATTTTGGAAATAAATCTGCGGTCTTAAAGCCGGATCAAAAATATAACTATACTTTGTTATTTTAAAAAAGAAAAATTAATAATTGTTTAAAAATAAAATACATGATTATTGTGTAAAATGTATATTGCACAATTGTATTATTCAAAATTACAAATAAAATACAATTATCAAAACCCTTATTCATAATTTGAAAAAAGAAAGAAATTTATACAAATATGATTACAAAAAAAAAGAACAAATATACTTAATTAGAAAGAAAAACATAAATATGAAAATTATATTTTTAGAAAAATGTAAAATAAAAAATATACCCGCCCTTTGAAATGGCGAGTCAGTATCTATTCTAAAATATTAAAACTGAAGTATAATTTATACTTAACCTTGATTTTCCATAATAATTACCAACCTATGCCACTCAATCCTAACATTAAATCTCGGTTAAGCTTTCATTATAATTAGTGGATTTCGGCAAGCCCATTAACAATATGATGATCATTATCGATGCCAAAATATGATTCTATATATAATTTAAAACAAACTAAAAAGCTTTATATTTTGAATATTAGTTGAACGATGACACTATCAAAACCTGTAAATTATAATTATACATACACAACCTCTTAGTCCATATGCACATATTGATTTATATTTGATCAAACACTTTAAGAAATCCACTGGCTTTGTTTTGGTTATTACAAAATCATACGGTTTAAAATCTATGGATTCTGTTTTTAGGCTCACTTTTTTTCTTACCTAAACGAAAATTTTGAAATACAAGACATTTTAGAGAAAGTGATAATATATTTACTACATATAAACAATGTATACAAAGCCCTTTCTCAAAAAAAAAAAAAAAAACAATGTATACATGCTAAATAATATTTTTTGGGACAAATTTTTCATGCTAAATAAGTTATCACATTCAAATGTGTAAATGATATATTACTGGTATATAGAGTCATAGAAAACCAACTGAATACCAAATATCTGACATATATTTACTATTCAAATAATACTTGATTTTCTTATGAACTAAGTCCTAACAAATTTCTAAAATTTTGATCACCACTAATTCTTTCTTAGTATCTTCTGAGTTATTCACCATAATTTCAAATTAAAAAAAAATCTATAGATATTGTTACACACTAGGCTACATTTGGATATTGTAAGTTTCATATGGATTTCAAATCGGTTATTCCCAAGTTAAAATGAATTCAGTTTTGATATATATATAAACCTATAAATATCCAAAAATTAATGTATCTGAGATCGGTTTGGATATTTGCACTAAAAGAAACAATATTAACTGATTTAGTTCAGTTATAGTTTGGACTGAAAATAAACTTAACCTAAAAATAATGGAATAATCAAAACAAACCATATTATTCTATTTGGTTCGGGTTCGATTCTAACATATATAAACCTAAAAATATTCAAATATACTTCTACAGTTAATATATTATGACATATATAAAATATATAATACTAATCATGAAAAACAAAATATCAATTTATAGAAAAAAAAATTAATATATGCACAGACGTGCGGATCAATCTCTAGCTTACGATTAAAAACGAAAGCATGTGAGAGAAATTTCTAAGAAACTATGTTTTGGAGGAATTAGAGAAAAAAAGTAGGGGTCAGTGTTATAATTTGTGAGCTTCTTTATTCTTAAGAGTATGTTATTCTCTTGCAATATTCATATAGGAATTCAGAATTGCGATACTTTGATATCTACAACGACCTACATATTTATATCTATTATACTAAAAAAAAAGTCATGATTCATTTCATGTATGTTTTTTTTATTTGGATCTTTACTAAAAAATTTTATTAAATGCATTTCATTTATTTGTAACAACTTTAATCATAGTATCTATTGATATCTTTTTACTTTATATATAAGTATATATTAATTTTTTTTTATCAAATATGTTAATCTATTATTTTGAAAAAG